TGTAAACTGACGACTTATAAAAGTGTAAACTGATGACTGATGTGTATCAGACTGAAAATTAATATAAGTGTAAACTGACGACTTATAAAAGTGTAAACTGAGGACTGATGCCTCCTCTTTTTCGAAAAACCCAGAGGGATTTTTTCCGTGCGAGATTTGACAGTTCTCACACGGGTCACCATTTATAGTCTCATCCGACGGACTGTATATTAGTGGTTAGTGTCATGCATGTGCTGGTTTTTTTTATGTCCGTTCCATGTACTCCTCTCCTCATCATTCGTCACTGAGAATAAACATGACTCTGCATGTACCAATTTCATCTTTCTTATAAACCTCGACTTGTCTTTCACTTATTTCTGCTCATCGTTCCGACATTTATGATTTTTAGTGAATAGTGTGATTATTAGTATGGGTAAAGAGGAAAAACGGGGAGGGTGTGTGGAGGTGGGTGGTGGGGGTGATTAGTGTTATAGTTGGGTTATAACCTGGATGGGGGCTGGAGGGGCTGGAGGTTGAAAGATGTGCTGGGTGTCAAGATATTTGTAGAAGGGTTCATGGGTTATATTAAATGCTGGTAGTCTGGACCGGAGTGGTGTTGGGGATGGTTTGTGGGAGGGGGTTGGGTTGGTTGGTTGGTTGTGTGAGGATATTTTAGTGGTTATTGTGTTTACTTTTTACGTGTATTTAATCATGTATACACATATATATAGTATTTTACTCTATTAGACATAAGATTGCTGTGGGTGGCAGACTCGTCCTTTTTATAAACGGAACTACCCGCACGTGGTCAGAACACATACGTTGCAGCTTTCTTACATCAACCGGATGTGAAATGTTTTAGGTTTTTTGAATTTAATAAATGTTTTATTAGTTTTTGTAAGATTAACTTAATTTGTTTATTATTTTGATTGATTGGATATTGTTGATATTACACTATTCACTGTGTTAGATAAACAGATATCGATTATTGGTTCATTATTCGTTTATCCCGTTATTCCTTACCACCCCACAGCAATTTTATGTCCAGTCGAACATATATATGTATGCATGAGTACCTACAAATGGATACATATATATGCACCACCGTGGAGCGATGTACAATCTGAAGCGGTACGCCGTTTTTAGACTGTTCAAAGCTTAAACGGTGGATATAAAATAGGATAGAACTGTATTACCACTATAAACTGTATAATACGACCCATAAAATAGGTCCTCTCGTTCATTCGGCTGATGGATGTAAACCTACGCCTCAACTGACGACTGATATAGGTGTAAACTGGCGACAGATATAGGTGTAAACTGGCGACAGATATAGGTGTAAACTGAGGACTGATATAGGTGTAAACTGAGGACTGATATGGGTGTAAAGTGACTATTTATATGGGTCGCCGTAGTTTTAGTCATCGCATGTCAAGTACCTTTGACTCACAAGCGACAATCTGCTTGTATAATTTTACACGCTTACACATGCAGACATTTGTTGAAAGTTGAGTCTCATGATAATGTTTCAATGCATAGACCATAAATGTTAAATACATCGTGCTTACAATGTACAAAATCTGTCGCCAATACATATAAATTATATACGCAACAACGTATATAACAACACCCATTTGGAGCCCCTTAGATCACAGACGATGACTTACACGAAAGCTTTGTATGATGGGGCAGCTGTGTATGCAGTAGAAACGTTTATCTGAAACAGACAGATAACCCGCATTTCCATATGTCCAGCTGTAGGCGAAGCTTCGTACATATTTCAGCTTCACCTGACTGGACCAAGTATGTGATTGGTAGGTACTGCATTTATTCTATACCATATTTTAACAGTATTATTTTTTGCGTGTGTGCCATACAATACTTTTGTGGCGTATTTTGTATGGTAACCGTGAAATAAAGACAACGCAACCATGGTTTACAATTTTCACACAGAGTAGGTCAATATTAAGGAGGTACACCATCGTCCACACAGAGTAGGTTAATATTAAGGAGGTACTCCATCGTTCACACAGAGTAGGTCAATATTAAGGAGGTATACCATCGTTCACACAGAGTAGGTCGGTATTTAGGAGGTACACCATCGTCCACACAAAGTAGGTTAATATTTAGGAGGTACACTATCGTCCACACAGAGTAGGTCAATATTTAGGAGGTACACCATCGTCCACACACAGTAGGTCATAAACCATCCTCCGCACAGAGTAGGTTGGTATTTAGGAGGTACACCATCGTCCACACATAGTAGGTCGGTATTTAGGAGGTACACCATCCTCCACACAGAGAAGGTCGGTATTTAGGAGGTACACCATCGTCCACACACAGTAGGTTAATATTTAGGAGGTACACTATCGTCCACACAGAGTAGGTCAATACTTAGGAGGTACACCATCGTCCACACAGAGTAGGTTAATATTTAGGAGGTAAACCATCCTCCGCACAGAGTAGGTCGGTATTTAGGAGGTACCCCATCGTCCACACAGAGTAGGTTAATATTTAGGAGGGAAACCATCCTCCGCACAGAGTAGGTTGGTATTTAGGAGGTACACCATCGTCCACTCAGAGTAGGTCAATATTTAGGAGGTACACTATCGTCCACACAGAGTAGGTCAATATTTAGGATGTACACCATCGTCCACACAGAGTAGGTCAATACTTAGGAGGTACACCATCGTCCACACAGAGTAGGTTAATATTTAGGAGGTAAACCATCCTCCACACAGAGTAGGTTGGTATTTAGGAGGTCCACCATCGTCCACACAGAGAAGGTCAATATTTAGGAGGTACACCATCGTTCCCACAGAGTAGGTCAATATTAAGGAGGTACACCATCGTCCACACAGAGTAGGTCAGTATTTAGGAGGTACACCATCGTCCACACAAAGTAGGTTAGTATTTAGGAGGTACACTATCGTCCACACAGAGTAGGTCGATATTTAGGAGGTACACCATCGTCCACACAGAGTAGGTTGGTATTTAGGAGGTACCCCATCGTCCACACAGAGTAGGTTAATATTAAGGAGGCACACCATCGTTCACACAGAGTAGGTCAATATTAATGAGGTACACCATCGTTCACACAGAGTAGGTCAATATTAATGAGGTACACCATCGTTCACACAGAGTAGGTCAATATTAATGAGGTACACCATCGTTCACACAGAGTAGGTCAATATTAAGGAGGTACACCATCGTCCACACAGAGTAGGTTAATATTTAGGAGGTAAACCATCCTCCACACAGAGTAGGTTGGTATTTAGGAGGTCCACCATCGTCCACACAGAGAAGGTCAATATTTAGGAGGTACACCATCGTCCACACAAAGTAGGTCAATATTTAGGAGGTACACCATCGTCAACACAGAGTAGGTCGGTATTTAGGAGGTACCCCATCGTCCACACAGAGTAGGTTAATATTTAGGAGGGAAACCATCCTCCGCACAGAGTAGGTTGGTATTTAGGAGGTACCCCATCGTCCACACAGAGTAGGTTAATATTTAGGAGGTAAACCATCCTCCACACAGAGTAGGTTGGTATTTAGGAGGTCCACCATCGTCCACACAGAGAAGGTCAATATTTAGGAGGTACACCATCGTTCGCACAGAGTAGGTCGGTATTTAGGAGGTACCCCATCGTCCACACAGAGTAGGTTAATATTTAGGAGGTAAACCATCCTCCGCACAGAGTAGGTTGGTATTTAGGAGGTACACCATCGTCCACACAGAGTAGGTCGGTATATAGGAGGTACACCATCGTCCACATACAGTAGGTCAA